AAAAAGGGCAAAAATGTAAATTGGAGTGCGGTATTTAGCAAAAAGGGTGCGGTATTTAGCAACACCCTTGACCGAATTATGTAGGCTTGCTAGGAGTGGGTCTAAACGAGGCAGCCCACGCGAGCTGCGGGTTAAGGCTGAACTGACCCGTTAATTATAAGAAATAAAAACTAATATATATAAAACTTCCCGAACTCTTCATTCTCATTCCGCCCAAACTCTCAACCAAAAATTGCTCCGCCCGTCTCCTCCCTCCGCCCTCGTTGTGCGCCGCCGTTGGATACTCACTCGCCGGCCCCCGCGCTAGTCTTAGTCGCCCCACACCCTACAACTCTCAGTCTCTCAGTCGCCGGCCCTTTGCACTTTCGGACGGGTTCATCGCAGCGGGATTTCAGATGTATCTCGGCCGCACCGCGCCTTTACCATTTCAGACGACTCGAAGGTCTACATTCCTCTCCTTAGACTAGTTTACCGGCAGCTTGCAAGGTACTCGGTGACTTGTGACTTTCACACTCCTTCCTTTGGTCTCTGACATGTGTTATCTAACACTTTGTATTTTGATGACTTTTCTGTTCTATTATGGTGATTGATGGATGACAGAAGATAATTTTAGGAGTTTTTTGCAATTTTGACCTAGAAATTTGATTTGTTAAATTTCAGGCTCATATATAACTGATTCTGGAATTTGATCTGGTTTTGGAAGGTTAATTGCCTATCCATATTGTCGGTTGATGGTGGGACTCCTGAATAAATAGATGTTGGGTGTGACTTTACTGTAGAATTGGTTGTGTTTTGGCTTCAAGTTGGCTTTGGAATATGATATGGCTGGGACTTGTGAATTCTAATGTGAGTCTGAGAATTCCCTGCACTTGTAAAATTGTGAATTCTAATGTGAGTCTGTGACTTGGCTGTGAATTCTAATGTGATTTATAAGGTTGTAACTTGTGCATTTGGTTCTGACTTATACTAATTTATGAAGCACAGCCGCAATCCCGTAGTTTTCTTTTTCTCATTTTGAAGTTTTACAATCTAGATCTTCTTTAAGCAAACTAACCTCTATACTGCTTCAGCTACCCTTTCTTTTATGGTTTTCAATCGCCTTTGATGATTATTTTTACAGAGAACTAGGCTTTTCTCTTCATTGGATAAAGGCGGAGATCACTGTTTTTTAATTCTTTTCTTTGGCTGGGATCAAATTCATCGGGCAATTGATACCGAAAATCGGCCATTTCAGAGGAGCAAGCCAATCCTCTGCTTCAGGGTAACAAAACTGTTTTACACTTCAAAGATGGAGATAAATCTCTTTTGCAGCGAAAAGGGCTTGCAAGAGGTAACTTTAAGAATTTTAATAGTTTTCAAATTTTTGACTTCTTTTCTTTTTCCTTTATCCAATTTTTTAATTATTATAGATTTTGTTAATACAATTTATCCAGCCTGCCGGAATTATTTGAGTTCTACTTATATGTTGATTGTCTAACTCGCTCATATGAATTTCACAAGTTTATATAGATTTCATACTTTTCAAAAGAATAAAATAAGATTGATAATTCATATTGACTCTATATAATAACTATAATTCAAAATTTAAATTGTTCAGAAACTTGTTTGTATTTGGATAGCTTCTCAATTGAATATGGAAGATTGCTTTAATTTATTGACTTTTGTCTAATTGTGTGATGATGCCATGTTTGTAGTTTTTCAGTTTAAACCCTACAATAGCGTACAATTTACTTTCAAGAGTGCATCCAACACAATAGTTTAAGTTTATTTTTCTGAATACTCTTTCATGAGAAAATTTTATGAATAGATTGGAACTTTAGGGTATGCATAAAAAATGACTTTATTCTATCTTGATAAAAAGAAAAAAAAATTTGGGATTTCATTTATTGATTAAAAGAAAAACAAATCACTTAACTTTATTACAAATTTCAAAACATGGAGATTTTATATAGTAGACAAGCGAGTGTGCGTGTATCGCTAGAGAGATTATGCAAAATATCGCTCCAATGCTACGCGTGCTTTTTTCTAGTATAAATATTTTTAGAGATGTATTTAATTATTTATTTGGTTAAATAATTTTATAAATTAACCTTAAATTAAATTATATCATGATTACTTAAATAATTAAACATGTGTAAAATAATGTATTGATCTAAATTGTATTTTGATATTATAATGAGAATAAAATGGTACCAAGTTTCGTATTTTATTCTAGTTATTTTTAAATTGAATTTATTGTCGAATATCATTTAATTAAATATATTATGTAACTATTAAAAACTAGACATCACTTATCCAAAAAGATTTAAATATAATTAGAAATTGGATTATACAAATTTATGTAATAAAATTATGGGTATATAATTGTTTCCACCCTGTACTATACATACTTTTGGATTTAGCAACCACAATATTTTTTGTGCTAAAGTGCAACCTAAACTTCATGAACATTTATAATTTGCATATTTGCGTACATCTTGACCATACATGTCAAGTAGTAGGTGATTGCGCAAATTATGAATGTTAATGAAGTTCAAGTTGCATTTTACAACGACACGTATAGTACAGGTTGTATTCAATGTTTTATAAACTTGTTTAACAACAACAACAACAACATAGCCTTTAGTCCCAAGCAAGTCGGGGTAGGCTAGAGATGAAATCCAAGAGAAACACAAAAGGCTCGAACCAACCGGAAGATCCAAGAGAAACACAAAAGGCTCGAACCAACCGGAAGAGATCGGAAAAAAAAAAACGAGAGAGAGAGAGAAAAAGGAGCAAAAGTCACGGTTCTGGCACGTTGATAGCGAGCCTCCAAGCGCTCTTATCCACCGCTAAATCCTTGGAGATATTCCAATCTTTAAGGTCTCTCTTAACCGACTCTTCCCAAGTGAGTTTAGGCCGACCTCTACCTCTCTTAACATCCTCGACCCGCTGTAGAACTCCCCTACGCACCGGTGCATCAGGAGGCCTCCGTTGGACATGTCCGAACCACCTCAGCCGATGTTGAACCAATTAAACTTATTATAAAATAATCTACATAAAAAGAAACAAAAGACAAATTGTGGTGATAACGAAGTTTTCAAAACTTGACCGGCCAAGCTACTGGTTTACTGTTCGGATTATTGATCAGTCGAATCGGTATTTAATTTATTAAAATTTTTAATATATACATACACTTTATGTAATAACTTTATACATTTAAACATTATATATCAAATATTTTGGCAATTTAAAACTTTTAAATGCTTAAACTAATTGATAAATAATTCATACATATCCATTATATTTGATTATGTATTATTTTTATTAAGAATACTTTCATATCTATTAAAATTTATTAAAAAAAAATCTGGTTCAACTTGCCAGTCCGACCGGTTACTGTTTCACTTGCAACCATTTCGTTCCAACAAATTGAACTGTTCAACAGACCTATTTTTGGTCCAACCAGTCAAACCGGCTGGACCGTTCCGGTTTTGAAAGCAGGCAATAGTGAACAATACAATACAGTTCTACTATATTAAAACTTTATTTTGGTTAAACAAGTTGGAGCTCTTAGTGTGAAAAATCACGTGCAACTCTATTTTTCCCACTAAGAGCTCCATTATATTTGATTATATATTATTTTATTTATGTTAATATACTTTCAAATATATTAAAATCTATTCAAAAAATATCTAGACTTGTTTAACCTGACTGGTTCGACCGGTTGTTGACTGTTTCACTAGCAACCGGTTCATTCTAGGGAATTGTACAGTTCAACAGACCGGTTTTCAGTCAAACCAGTCAGGACTGGTGCAGTTTTGAAAGCAGTGGGGGATAGTGAACTATACGATATAGTCCCCTACTGTCGAAAACTCTACTTTGGTTAAACGTGTTGGAGCTCTTAATGTGAAAAATCACGTGCAACTTTTTTGGTTATTTCATTCTTAATGGGTTATCGTGTGTTTGCTTGACAGTGTGTTGAGAGATACCATGGTGATAATCTTATAAGTCGATTACCAGATGACATTCTCCTTATTATCCAATCTTTCCTCCCATTGAAAGAAGCTGGGCGAACAAGTGTTCTTTCTTCTCGTTGGAGAAACCTGTGGAGTTACATCTCACATCTCAACTTTGATGACTATAGTTCGATGGAGAAGATTATCGAGGACCCAAAATTTCGCAGTGTTGAGAGGGAAAAGTATGTAAAGTGGGTGGATTCGGTTCTCCAATCACACCGAGGGTCCACTGTGAAAGAATTACGAATATGCTTTAGTTTAGTCAAATCAGCAGGAAAGTCAATTACAAAGTGGCTTGAATTTGCTTTTGAGAGGCACACCGAAAAGTTGGAGATGAACCTTTCAGAAGGTGACTGTGGTCATCACCCACACGAAATGTACGCGTTTCCTCAAGAGTTATGCAGTTCAGACCATCCTTACAAATCTAGTAGACTTTTCAACTGTAAGTCCATAAAAATGTTGTCCTTGGGCTGCATTAATATCTCTGGTGAAACTATTGAGTTTCTCTTACGTGGCTGCCCATTGCTGGAGCAGTTAATTGTCCGCGCCTCTGATAAATTGACACGTCTTGAAGTTTGTGGACCATCCCTTGTATTAAAGCATTTGGAGATATGGATGTGCAGTTATTTAAAATCCTTAAGAATTTCTGCTCCGAATCTAACTTCACTTGTGCTGTATAAAATACAAGGCCTCTTGCTTGAGGATGTTCCAATGCTTACTAGTGTTAATGTGACCTTTGCGGAGCCTACTTCGTTGTATGTAGAGAGATTAATTCCTACATTGCGTTGCTGTCTTTCCCAATTGGAGATTTTCACCTTTGACATTTGTCGTAACAAGGTAAGGTGTCTTTCTACATTGGTTTAATTTTCACTTAATGGAGCTTAGTGATTTTAAAGTAAATATAAAACTTGATACTGGAGCCCTATTGTTGATTTGACAATCATCATGTGGTTAAATTTGGTGGGTCATATAATGCACAAATGATTGTCAAATCACCAGTACTAACATGAAATTATTTGGAAAATAATATTTATTGGAAGTTTTTTTTTTAAAAAAAAAAACTTTATTTATTTGTTATTGCAGGAGCTTCTATCGATGCTCAAATTCCCCATGATGCCTAAACTTAAGAAGTTGGTCATCATTGAAGCTTTATGTGGTGTGGACTCGAGTCTTCTTGACCTAGCTAATTTTATTAGTGCATCTCCGAACCTGCGAGAATTTGAGATACAGGTTGGTCTTTGTAAATATTATCCCTACTATCTCGTCATCATTGAATGGCTTTACTACCTGTATTTGTTGTCTTATATTATTTATTTATTTATTTATAGGTGTAACTTAGTATATGAACTTATTTTATTTTCACTTGGTATGGGCAGCAAAGGTGGTTTAAAGCTGAAAGGTCAAACAACGAAATTCAGAAGGGATTGAAGCACTTCCCACTGCACCAGCATCTGAGTGTTTTTCGTTTTTTAGGTTATTATGCTTGCCCGAGTGACGTTGAATTAGTCAACTACTTGTTGGAGAACTGTGTCGCGCTTAAGGAAATCTATGTTGATACCCAAACTCCTCTACGCATGGCCTACGAACCACTTGATCCTGAACAGTTAGAAGTGGCTGAAATAGCAAAGGTTTACGCCAAACAGCAACTGGAGCCGCTAGTACCAAAGCACATAAGGTTATTTATATGCTAACCATTTTTGTGTTTAATACTCTTGTTTTCTTGGTAATTTATATTAGAACTTGGTGTGATTTAATCTCATCTTGTGTTGTTGTGACTTGTATTGTTTTTTAGTATTATGGAATGATACTTTGCTTTGTTGTAGTATCTTGCATTTGAAATATTTGTGGCATCAGCTTATTTGGGGTTGTGAGGTTGTGATCCATTCTTGATGTTAGTGAGTAGATTTATTTCCTTCGCTGTTCTTGCTCGTGTAAAATTTTTAGAAAGGTTTTGTTTACTTCGTTTTTCTTGTTCGTGTGCGATTTTTAAATTAGGATTGTTTACATTGCGTTTGGCCATAAACCAAAAGCCAAATTGTTCCTAATTCACAACTTTTTGGCGAATTACAAACTTATAGAAAATGATATACTTTTTTTTTA